AGTGTGGTCAGCTTTCGGTCACATTCCTCCTGCAGCGCCCGCAGCTGCTGGTTGCGTTGACAGATGCCCTCGTTCACCGACGGGAAGTCATTGAGGATTAGGAACTGCTTGAGGTCGGACACGAGCTTCATAAGGGACTCGCCAGCTCGGACGATGTTGGCGATGTTGGCGGCCCGCACGTGCATCTCGTAGTTGTCCTGCTCCCCCTGTGTGGCCCGGGACACCTGCGTCTCGTCTTCAACCTTGGCGGTCTTGATGATCTCGGTGAAGTTGTCCATGATGGACTTGACATCGTCTTTGAGCCGCTTGTTGTAGGACTGTAGCAGCGTCTCCTTGCTCTGAGGCAGGGGCCACCGGTCAGCACCCGCGCCGCCCAGCCCGGTCTATTTAGCTTTCTTATGGATGATTTTGTAAGCTTTATACTCCTGTGGTTAATTTCTAGTTTTATGGGATTGTGATCTGAGAAGATACTTTGTATTATTTCAGTGTTTTTTAATTTGTTGAGGCTTGCTTTGTGATTGATTCTGGAGAATGTATTTGAGAAGAAAGTGAATTGAGTTTTATTTGGGTGCAGTTTCCTGAATACATCCACAAGGTCAAGTTGATTGATCGTATAGTTCAGGTCTTCTGCATCTTTGTGGAGTTTCTTTTGGGTTGACCTGTCCTTTGATGATAGTGGTGTGTTGGAATCTCCTGCCACTACTGTGGTGGTATCTATTTCTTTCTTTGATCTCTTAACCATTTTATGTATTTTGTAGGTCTGTTATCTGGTGCATAAACCAAGACCAGCGTTATGTCTTCTTGATCTGTTGTGTTTTCATCAGTATGTAATGCCCTTCCTTATCTTTTATTTTGGTTTTCATTCTGAAATCTGTTTTATCAAAGATTAATATTGCTACTCACGCTTTTTTGAGGTTACCATTTGCTTGGTGTATTTTTTCCCAGCCTTTAATTTTGAGTCTTTTTCTTCTTTTTTTAGATGTGTCTTTTGTAGGCAACATATTGATGGGCTTTGTTTATTTATCCATTCTGCTACTCTTTTATTCTTAATTGGTGCATTTAGTCCATTCACATTAAGTGTGATTATTGTC